GAAAATTAAAATTTTCGGCCTTTTAAAAAAAAAAAAAAAAAAAAAAACCTTAAAATTCGTGAATAAAATTACTTGTAAGGCTGTAAATTGGCTTGTGTTCGGCTCGTTCGAAACTACTCGTGTTCGAAATCGGCTCGTGAACAGTGTATTCGTGTTCGGCTTGATTTAAATATATGTGTTTGTGTTCCACTCGAAACTTGCTTGTTAAAATTAAATTGAAAAAATAGATGTGAAGTTTTGAATTCAAACTTGGACCAAATGTATGTAAAAGAAGACACTAACCACATTACCACATGAGGTGTTATGATCTAAATTTAGATATAAATATATACAATATATTATTATATAAGTAATATGTAGTCTATTATTATATAATAATTGTATTTTTTTTTTTATTTTGAGCAAAAACAAGCCGAACACGAACGAACAAAGAACTATTGGTGTTCAGCTCATTTACTTAACAAACGAGCCTAACATGAGCTGTTCGCGAATGAGTTTTTTTTATAGTCCTAATTACTTGTATGAATAATATGTTTTTTTTTTTTAAATTAATGCCTATCTAAGGACTTGGAAGTGATATGCATATAATTTGATATAAAGGCTTTCTAAACAGCTTTAGTGGGATCAGGTGTTTAAATAAATTTTTATTAAACTCGAATGATTGAGTATTGAGTTGAATGCTCGAACAAATGAAATGGCTTTAAAATTAAAATTGTACTTTAAATTTTTGCATAATGTTTATAATGGGTTTGGGGATGAATTGAAATAAAATTATACAATAGCTGATGTATATCAATATACAGAATTATGTCCAAGTATCTTAATAATCTATTGTGGGGTACATGCCTTTATAAGCCCTTTAATTTTACCCTTAATTTGAAGTGAAAATTGAAGCCACATTATTACACAAATAATAATAAAATAAAAATTATATATATATATATATATATATATATATGCCTTTATATTCCTAGCTCGAATGTCATAAACATAATCATTATATATTAAATACACTTAAAAATTAGAAATTCTTGAAAAGTTTAATTTTTCAAAAATATTTATTATTAGGAGTGTACATGAGTTGAACACGAGATTTTCACAAACAAAGAGTTATTTTGATAACCCTAATCACATAGTCATAAGATGTTAATGAGTGGTGCAAGATTTAAAAGTTATTATTTATGTTGAAACATTTTTTGAATCTAATTTAATAATTTTTATTCAATTTTCTTAAATAATAGTTTTAATTGATTATAATTTTTTGTACATTGTAATTTTTTTAAAAAATACTATTCATCAATATATATAATTGATGAGTAGTATTTCGAGTCAAAATGAGCCGAACACGAACAACACGAGCTTTGTTCGTGTTCGGCTCGTTAACTTAGCGAATGAGTCGAACATGAGCTTCTTAACGTGCCAAACACTAACGAAGCGCTTTGACAGCCCTATTTATTATGTGAAATGTTTCCCCATCCTCTTCTAAATTCTATTTACATTGTATGCATCTTTCTCATGAAGGAAGCGAACATATTACCACGACATTTGTGAGCTAACATTAAGTGTATACAAGTTCAGCATAGTTTGTTACATACAGACAACCCGAAGCTTATCATTTATAAATCTAGCACTTTCTTTCGTTCATTTTTCAATTAGTCACTCATATATCAAAATTTATCATAAAATTTCAACCCATATTTTTCATTTCTACCAAATTCTCAATAGTTTGAGTTTGATCGTGCGCACGTGTATAAATATATCGGTTGGGTGGTCCAAAAAATCATATGCGTTGCTCTTGGGCCCCTATATGTAATTATCTCAAAAAAAAAAAAAAAGGGGAATTTTGGGCGTTGGAAAGACGGTGACAGTTAACAATGGTGATTTCTCTTAATTTATCGATTTTTAAAAGTCTCTTTTTTTTTTAAAGGAGGTGAGGGAGGACGACGTGGTTCAATTATGGGCCGTAACGTGGGCTTAGTGCGGGTAGTTGGTTGGTTGGGCAAGTTATGCATGTTTGGATTCAGTTGCGATCTTTAGGGATTGGCAAAGAAGAATTTGAGGTTTAATTTATTTATTATTTAATTTATCGTTGAATCGTGTGATGATGATAATAATAATAATTTATATTTTATGTGTGTATTTTTTTATTTTAAAATTTTATTTTTTTTAACAAAAATTAATTGATGTTTTTTTAATAGAAACTTATTTAATATAAATTTATTTTTTTTTAGATAGTGGACTTTAGGGAAGGGTATTCTTATTGATAACATTATTCAACATTAATATTTTATTATTTTATTATTATTATTTTAGGCGGTTGTGATTGCAATAATCCACATTAAAAATAATAGTTTTTATTAAAATAAAAAATAAGATAAAAATTATTTAAAAATAAACTAGTATTATTCAATTTTAATAATAATAATAATAATTTTTATTCCTAATTATTTATTTTATTTTTTTTGCATTTACATACATAAAAGACAATTCTTATGAAATATTTAGCTGTATAACTCTGAAATCTTTAACAGCACATCAAATATACTAGCTCCACCACATTTTAGAAAGTGAAGCACATATTTATCATGCATAGAATTATGCACATTTTAGAAAGTGAAGCACATATTTATCATGCATAGAATTATGATACCGATTTCTTGTAAATGTAATTATCAAACTGTTAAGTGTCATATATTTAAATACATAGTAATTGTGAGGTATGTACATTTCCCATTATTTAATTGTCGACAATCACCTTTGTACATGAAAATATGCTCATGTTGATCCTAAAAAGATCTAATGGTACTGAAAGGTCAACTCGGTCGATTGAAGCAAGATCAACTGACTGAAGAGCAGACCAAATGGCTATCATTCGAGTAGCTGACTGAAGGATGAATGAAGGCGATCAAATCAACCAAAGCCAAGCCCTACCAACCAAAGAGTTGTCATCAGACGAAAGTGTTGCTATGCAAACGAAAGGTTGTCATCTAACTGATGGACTGCTAGTTGACCGAAGGATGAACGAAGGCCATCAAGCCAACTAAATGCAAACCCTACTGACCAAAGAGTTGTCATCAGATCGAAGTGTTGCGAGCCAACCCAAAATGTTTCCATCCGACCGAAGGCACGCCTAGCCGACCAAAGGGTCGTTAGTTGACCAAAGGTAGTTTAGATGGCCAAAGGCAAGCCCAATCAACGAAGGCTATCGAGCAACAGACTCCCATATGCAAAAAATACTGAAATACCATGTATAATCCTCTCTCAAGCAAGGGCATAAATGTAATTTTATGTACAGTCCTCCTATCCTCTAAAAAAAGAGGGATCTTTCTTGTATTAGGGGCTCTTGGACACTTTTTTGTAGCCTTTATTTTCAATGATATAAAAAAGGATCACAAAACCCCAAAAATATCCCAGCCTACCTTAGAAGGGAAAGTTGCAGCACACTTCTCTCTCTTACCCCTCTTTCTCATATTCTATACTCTATTCCTTGGGTGTGATTCACATGTCAAATTTGGTTACAACATCATGAAAGGTACATGAGTGCACATCATGCCAATAATAAAAAGAGAAGAAACACAAAGAGAGGAATTGAGGATTAAGTTTGGTCAAGTTAGGTTCCAATCGATGCAGCAAGAATGATTAGAAGTCTGGATGACAGAAGGGATGCCGACCAACTGAAGGATAGCTAACTGATGTTGCTAGCCGACTGAAGGGTTGGTAATCAACCGAAGACATGCCAAACAACCAGAAGTCTGGATGACCCAAATTTTAAAAGCCAAAAGATAACATTTTTGTTTTGCGAGGCTTTGACTCAGAGGAGAAAACCATACCACTGAAACGAACACCCGACTTACGATGTCAAAAGAGGCTTTCTACAGGAAAGCCGTCCGATAACATCGCTCCAACACTTGATTAACATTGGTTATCTTGAAGATAAAAAAAACATTATCCTTTCAGATATTTTATTATATCTAAAAAATACATAAATTGTTCTAATTATGTTTTTCTAGGTCCAACTAAGACTCGGGGAACTCAAAGAGTTTACAGTCGTTTGCATTTCAGCCAACACTCTGGGAACTCAGACCGAGTAAAATAACCAACATCGACGCAAAATGTCTGATCGTCATTAAAATAAAAATTAACTCTCAACACAAAGCAAAAAATACCCATGTCTCTAAACTCGACATAAATAAACCTTTAGAAGTGGCTCGTTGTCCAGTAGTGGCAAGCTACACGAATGGTACAATGCAAATCACATCAGCAGCGACTCTAAGTGGCTACCCCCTAAATGCAGCGTCAAGGTCCACTTAAGACCTAGAGAAAGATGTGACCTGATCGAGGTGAAAATCTGGCCGAGCAAATGAGACAACTGTATAAGACTTGTGTCAGATGATGACATATTAAAAAACAACCAACTTCTTTCTGAAGATTTGGATCATCAACCAATACAAGCATTCATCACCGACAATTATCAAAAATAAATAGCGCAATAGAGGTAAAATGCTAAAACAAAGATAAAAAATAATAGGAACCTTCACTTTATTTCTTATTCCAAAAAGTTACAAATCATTTTTATGCATTTTCTTACAAGCTAAAAAACAAAATAAAAATGTTGTCAAAGTGGCTGATCGAAAGTAAGCTCAGCTAACCAAGGTCATCAAACTACTGAAGGTCAGCACTGTCGATCGAAGGTTAGCTCGGCCAACTAAAGGGTTCTAACTGACCGAAGGTTTGCTAGCTGATCAAAGACATAATAGCCTACGAATAGCCTCTGTATATCACATCAGAGTTGACAAGGCAGAGCACAAATATACATAAAAACCAAGGGAGCATCATTAGTAATTTATTAGTAAATATGTTGACAATTTTTGCCTTAAAAATGTCTCATTGTTATCGTAGCTTAAGAGAATTAGGAACTTAATATGTACATTAAAAATATACCCCCATGCCGAAAGGTCAACACAGTCGATTGAACTTCATCCAGCTGACCTAAGGTTTAGTTGATCGACGGACTACCAGTCGACTGATGAATTGCTAGTCGACCAAAGGCCATTCAGACGATCGAATGCCGTCCAACCGACTAAAAGGCTGCCATCTGGTCAAATGATTGTCATCCAATTGAAAACTGGGCGGAAGACGGAGGGTAAGCCCAACCGACCGAAAGGTGGCTGAGCAACAAGCTTTAATACACAAAAATGACCAGAATAGCATGTACAACCTCATCTCAAGTAGGTCTTAAATGTAATTTTTATATACGGTCCTCCCATCCTATATAAATAGGATGAACCTTTCGTGTATTAGGGGCTCTTGGATTCCTCTCTTGTAACCTCTACTTTCAATGATATAAAAAGGGTCACAAGGCCTAGGAATTCCATAGTTTGACACAGATGGGCAAGTTGCTGCTCATTCCTCTCTCTCTCTCTCTCTTATGTTCTACGACATATTCCTTGGGTGTGATTCCCAAGACAAGTATAGATTAAACAACCTCATTTATAGAGGTCGTCGAGAGGAAGAATGCTCCAATTTTGCTTCATGGTAATTTGGTTGCAAAATTCATACTTCAATCCTCCCTTGCTCAAAAACCCTAACAATGTGCCTCTTCCCCATAATCAATTATAAGGCATTGATACTTGAGGTCTCAAACATGAAGTCATCAACTCCTTATATCTAGAAGTTCAAGGGGTGGCGGTGATTCAATTGTTGTGAACAAAAACTGATGGTGGTGGTTATGTGCTAGAAAATCTGATGTCAGCGTCTTCGGTAGCGACAACTCAACGACGGTGGTGACGTTGGCAATGACAGTGGCGGTGGTGGTGGCATTTAGGTAGTGTGGTGTGACGATGGTGGCCGACTATGGTGGTTGGACTAGGGCTGTCAAAATAGCTTGTTGTTCGCGAACAGCTCGTGTTTGGCTCATTCGCTAAGTTAACGAGCCGAGCACTAACAACACAAACAAATTTTTTTTCAGTCGTGTTTGGCTCGAAATACTACTAATCAATTATATATATAGCTTTGATTAGTAATATTTGCTTTGATTATATATATAGCTTTGATTAGTAATATTTTTTAAAAAAATTAATTGACTACAAGACTACAAAGATTTATAATCATTAAAGTATTAATGAAGAAAATAGAATAAAATTATTATATTAGATTCATATGATGTTTTAAATCTTGCCCCAATCTTTAACATCTTATGGCTACATGATTAGGGGTGTCAAAATGACTTTTTGTTTGTGAACGGCTCGTGTTCGACTCGCTAAGCAAACGGGTCGGACACGAACACACTTTTTGAGCTCGAAATATAAACGAGCCGAACACGAGCTGGGCCTGGGTTCGCTCGTGTTCGACTCGTTTACACCCATAGGTTGGACAACAGTGGTTGTGCAGTAGCGGCACTAGATGGCGGTGGCCAGATAGTGTCAATAGAGTACCAAAGAAACAACATTTTTAACAAAACTAATAAATTAATGGAGTTGTTTAAAACTTACCAGCATGAATCTGCTTTCTCAAGTGCCTAGGTAACTTTGATAGCCATCGTCCTCCATCATCATGCTTCGACTGATCCTAATTTCTTTAATGGCTTAATCGAGGAGAGAGCGATAATCGAAAGAAGAACGTGGGAGCATATCAAGGATTGGAGCATAGGTCTAGGGTTTTGTTAGGATACTGATCTAATTGAGAGAATGTTACAATTAGATGTATTTTCATTAAATATTTAATAATAAAAATACTCTAGACAATAACACCAGTCAATTATGAGAAATAATAAAAATTTTAAAGTCTTACAAGTAAATAAAAAAATTAAATATATATATATACCCTAAAATTTAGATATGTTTACTTTTCTCGTGCTTGCCTTTCAAATCATTTATATCACATAAAAATATATCATTATAACATTATTTTTTTTTTCTAAAATGATATATACCTTATTTATGAAAAAAAAATATTATGAATATAAATAAAAAAAAATTTAGTTATTACATTCATAATATATAAGATTTTTGTGATATGTAGGTAAAAAAACATTAAAAAATTGTAAATAAAAAATTAAAATTTTTTATATTTATTTTTCGCCTCAACTGAAAAAAGGAAAAGGTATTTATTACAGAAGATAAGAAAATAGAGCTTCAAAAATAGAAAATTGAGCAGGCGCCCATCTTCGCCCCTTTTACTCGTCCGTATCCTTCTCCTCAAGTAGCTCCGTATCCCCACCGAACCCTAGAAATACGCTCCAATCCTCGATCAGCCTTCTACGCTCTTCTTTCGATTGTCGTTCTCTCCTCGATTAAGCTTTTCAGAAGATGGGGGAAAAGAGGCGTTGGGGAAATTGGGATCAGTCGAGGAATGATGATGGAGGACGATGGCCATCGAAGTCACCGAAGCTTTGGGGAAAGCAGAATCATGCTGGTAAGCTTTAAATAGCTCCATTAATCAATTAATTCTGTCGTATGTGTTGAATCTTTGATACTGGGTTTTGGATTTGGATCTAGGGTTTTGTTTTGGCCGCATTATTTGTCTAATCATTAAGGCGAAGATCTATTGTGTGGCGTTCTTATGCTTTTCCTTAAAGAGCTTTTGCTATTTCATAAATTTGGGGTCAGTATCTGGAGTCTTTATTTTTGTAATTGTGTCGCGTTCTTATGCTTTTCTTTAAGAGCTTTTGCTATTTCATAAATTTGGGGTCAGTATTTGGTAATCTTTTGTGAGATTTGCAAGTCCTGGCCTTTTCTCTGAGGCATTTATGTTTGAGGGAATTTTTTAAGATTTCTGTAGAAAATTGGTTTTTTTTTTCTTCTTGTTTTTAATCTTTATCTGTTTGCTGCAGTATCTGATATATGTGATAAGAATATTAGCATTGTGCAATTTTTAAATTGCAGGATTTAATGGTTGGAGGGAAGAAGAACGCTCAATGAAAATGACATCCAATGCACGGGGTAATCCATGATGTATTTGTTAATTTTTTTGTAGATTTTGACGGCTTATTGTCCAGAACGGGTTTTCTTTGGTAGCTATTTTGTGTTGTTCTGAAATAAACTTTAGGGTGATTCATGTGCTTTTCACAAAATTCTTTTGTAACTACATATCTAACGCCTAAATCTTTATAGAACACCTGCATTTCTAAACCTCATTAACAATTATGCATGAATAGGTATATTTCATTTAGATAATTCTGTTTTAGTGGCATTTTTGAAAGATTTTTCTGTTAGATAATTAAATATGAAGATTTCATTGTTAGATATATAAATAAATGTATAAAAATTCCGTGATATGTATGTAAATCCCCGCATTTTTTTTCATAAAAGCTATAAAAGTAATGAATGTATAAAAATTCTGTGATATGTATGTAAATGCCCGCATTTTTTTTCATAAAAGCTATAAAAGTAATGAATGATTCAGAGTTGTACTCAAACTTACTGCCTTGTGTTATTGTTTGAAAACTTTGAACTAGTTAGCGAAAGCCCATAAATGATACTTTTTGTGAATAAAATAGTGAAATTCTAGTAATTTTATGCTTATTTTTCCTTTATCCTTAAATAATTTGGCTATTATATAGTGAAACTCATGTGTCTTGTGTCCGACTTGTAATGGTACTTCACAATATTTAAGCATGCTTGATATAAATTGGCATTTTTGTTTTTAATGGTTTGAAATCTATCAATAATATCATATATCTTTGTGGTTTGAACAAACCTCCATGCATTTTTATAAGTTTTGCATTCTTGAACCTTAACCTTAGTGTTCATTAATATGTAAATTTTTCATCTTTGGAAATACATTATAAGTTCAATTATGTTTGATTTTGAATAAAATGAGTCGTACCATAAATATAAACCATCCTTTAACTATTGAATGATTCTCCATTCATTTGCTATGTATGATCTTGATTGTATTGATCATTCCTTAACTAGAAGTATCTTTTACCTATTGATTGATCCTACAAACTTTTGTATGATTCCAAGGTCCATTCTGCTTCTATAATGTGCACCGTTGGGGTTGGCAGTTCAAAATATAGAAATAAAACAAGACATATGCATTTAGTTTAACCATAATTAGCAAGATTATTTTGCTTATTCAACCAAGATCACAATTATATTAATAGAATCATATATTTGAAGGGCTCAGCTTGGTTTTAAGGTTCTAGAACATGTCTGTTTTGTAAGAGATGCTACTAAAGAACAATAAGTCCCTTGGCATTTGTATTTGAATATTGCTGACACATTTATCACTATAGTGTATGATACAAAAAAAAATTGTAGATTTGGATATAATTTAAAGTTTTGAGAAAGGATTCAAAATGGTCCCCTAAATCTTTGCAGAGTGTCATTTTAGTCCCTGAGTTTATAAAAATATCATTTTAGTCCTTCGATTCTTTTAATCTTCCATGGGTATTATTTCAATCTCTATTAAGAGAGTTTGAGGACTAATTTGACATTTTTATAGACTTTAGGACTAAAATGGCCCCATCGAGATAGTTAGGTGTCTATTTTGATGCTTTAATCTTTAAAGTTTTTATCTTGTTTACAATCTTATTTTTGTTCTGCTATATGTTTCTTCTCAGTTAACACTAATAAGATTTTATTATCATCTTTTTTGCACTCAATTGGTTCTTCTTACTGCAAACCCCATACACCACCTGTACACATGATATTCATGCTCAGAGAGTCCTAATTGTCAACAATTTACTCTTTTTTTGAAATTCTCTTATTTGCTCCCCCTCTCTGTTTCTATCAGAAGAAAGTTGTTATGCTGCTCCTTCATGGGAGAGGACATTTTGCTCTTATGTGTGCCGAGTTCCTTGGAGAAAAATATGCGACGCCGATAGAGTATTGTGCATCCACAAGAACATCGCCAACTGGGACGATTCTGCAGGACGAGAAGCATTCCAAAATGCGAAAGCACGCTATTGGGCAAAAATTAATGGTCTCCCTTGTAATATTCCGCTGCCTGATCCATACATGTACGTTGAAAAGGTTGATTTTGATACTTTTGTCGATCCCAAGCTCACTGCAGATTTAGAAAGAAGTTTCTTCAATCCCGATGTGAATAATGAATCCGCCGCAAGTCATTTGGATTCTTCTGAACATAAACCCGTGCCTCCAAGAAGTTGTGGTGCGGAGCAATCTTCCTCAAATTGGGACAAGTATATTGAAAAGCCAACTTTAGCTTCAGTATGGGATGAAATGGCTGCCAAAAATAGTTGGGGGGATGGAATTGCACAAAATGATCCATGGCAAAGCAGAAGAATTTATTCATTGGATGCTAATGGAAGGGAAGCTTCGTGTGGAGTTAGCTGGAAAGATCAGGATGAATCATGGAGGCATCACCAGAGCTGGAAAAATGGTGAGGATAGAAGAAATAGTGATTGGAAGAACATGAATTCAAGCTGTACAGTACATGATGATAGAATGAACAGTAGTTGGAAGTTTTCTGGTAGCAGCGGCAGGAATAACTATTTGTTTGAGAAGAAGGTGCAGCCCCAGAGGACATGGCAGCGCGGTCAGTTTTTAGGATCAAGGAGTGATCAAAGAACAGGATATTCTGGTGCTCAATTTCAATGGGAGAATGCAGTTTCATAGTGTTGTTCTTGAAGATGGAGTTTTGATTTATACCTTGATGATTCATATAGGG